GGGGGGGGGGGGTCCGGTATTTTTGTTGAAACCATCTGGCAACCCTAAGTGAGTGAGGGGGGAGAACAGTGAGCAGCAGAGGGCGGGGCATGGAGTGAGTAGGGGCAGGGGTGGAGTCTCAGGGGAGGAGCAGGGCAAGAGTGTTTGGGTTTGTGCGATTAGAAGTTGGCCACCTTGCTCTGTGCGGCCCCGCTTGCTCCAAGGGACGAGGGCTGAAGGCTGGTGGGGCTGCTACTCACCAGTTCCAGGTTGCGGTTGTGCAGCTCTGCGATGATCTTCTCGTGCTGCCTCTGCTTCTCTTGCTCCTCATGCTCCTGCTCTTGCATCTGGCGCCGGGCCTCCCTTTCCTGGGCCTTGTCTTCAAGCTCGCGCTGGTACATGCGCTCCCTGTGCTGCCGCTCTCTCTCCCGGTCCTCGTGCTCGCGCTTCCTCTCTTCCTCCTCGCGCGCGCGCTGCTTCTCCTCTGCCTCGTGCACTCGCTGCCTCTCCTCTGCCTCGCGCTCTCGCTGCCTTTCCTCCCGCTCGTGATGCCTTTTCCTCTCCGCCTCCTCGTTCTCCAGCTTTTTCAGCTCCACCTTTGCCTACAGACCACCCGAGTTAAACTTGCTTTCAGCATGCTCATGTACCAGCCACCCAGGGCCTCATTTCTTCTCACACGCTTGTGCAAAGAATGGTTGTCTCACACATCTTGCACAAGTGACTCTGCCGTTCTAGCCTGGGCAAATCAGGCCCTCATTTTGGTGGGAATCTGCTGAGCCCAATGGAGTGCCACCGATTTACAGCAGCTTGGGAAGAGGTTGTGGTTTGGTGGGCTCAGGGTGTGTTTCTTGTGCTCTGTGTAAATGTTTGGCCTGGATTCCTCTAACTCAGTGTTTCTCAACCTTTAAAAAAAATTATAAGTACTCCCAGTGCCTACAGTTTTCAGACACTCACTTTAAAAAAAAAAATTGCAACACATTTGTTTAAACAAAAAAAACAAAACATTGCAACACATTTGTTTAAACAACTTAATCGTAGCTGGGTGGGCAATGAAATTTGGGTGTAAAAAGTACAAAAATAATAAAGTGCTGTAAAACTTAAATTCAGTTTTCTCCAAATGTCAGTTGTGTTGACGCACCCCCCAGACTTCTCTCGAGTACCCCAAAGGGTACTCGTAGCACTGGTTGAGAAACACCGCTCTAGCTCAGGAGTGGCTCACACTCTGTGAAGGATGCATCTCGTGAAGTCACTCAAGGGGGTCTGTCATGGGTCCAGTACTAGTCAATATCACAGAGTGGCGATTATGCTAATGAAATTGATGGGAAGCACTTTGGAGAACCAGGTTAGTGTTCAAAAGGACCCAGATGCCTTAGCCTGACATCAATGAGATGAAATTCAATAGAGTACAGTGCTTCGGAAGGGAATAATCAAACTTACAGCCACCAAAGGGAAAGAAGTGGCTAAGCAGCAGCACTGCTAGAAAAGACTTGGGGGTTGGGCTGGATCCCAAACGGAGTTCAAGCCAAGACTGGGATGTAGTGTGAGGAAAAGGCTAGTAGGGTGTGTTAACAGGAATGTCGCATGCACGGTACCGGAGACCCTTGTTTCAGCTCCTCAGCCCTGGTGGAGCTCCAGTGGGAGCAGGTGTCCAGCTCTAAGCACCACGCTTTAAGCACGATGTGGCCAAATTGCTGAGTACTTAAGAGTCAACAAAACCCGCTGTGAACACTCAGAAACCCAGACCTTTGAGGGAAGAGTTAAAAAAACTGGGACATCTTTAGTTTGAGAAAAGAAGATGGGAAAAACCTGGTAAGGCATCAGACATGCCAGGGCTGTGAGACGGGGAGAGGACCAGTTGTTCGGCACAGCCTCTGAAGGCAATGTCTGGGGAAAGTCCCTGGGGTTTGTGCGCCTCAGTCCTTTAGACACTGACTGTCCAGTTTTGCTTGTTTCATGTCCCTGGGGAGGGTGGCGCAGGGAACTAGGCCCTGCCCTGGGGAATTTACAAGCTCATTGGCTGGCAGCAGCAGGCAGGTTGTTACCACATTTCCCAGTGTGAGGTCCAGTGAGTCAGGGACCCGACCCCACTGTCCTGCAGGCCAGACACTGCCTTAACCACAAGTGTCCCTGTGCGCATGGGGCAGGCGTGGCAGTGGGGCCAGTAGAGTCGGGGCTGGCTCTGGCCTGCAGCCCAGGAAGGACACCCGCCCCCCCCAGGAACCACGTTGCACTCACCTCAGATGAGAAAAAGCTGCCCATCTGTGAAAACAGAAACAGAGCCACCCTCAGTCACCGCTGGCACCAGGAGGGGAGATGGGAGTAGGAGAGGAAGCATGGTATGGGGACAGTTTGGGGCCAAGGACACTGCTATGGCCAATGCCTAGAAGGTGGCTTTGCAACCAGGTTTTGCTCTACACTTGAGCTGGCTCTATCTTGATCATCGGGCGGCTTCTGCTCTGGCTCCCCTTCCCCAAGCATCTGAGCCACACCCTGGCCCAACTGCAGTCCCCCCTCTGCTGAGAGGTAGCGTCGCAGCCTGGCCTTGGTCCTCCCAGGGAGCTGAGCAGTGTTCCCTCTAATCTTTTCCATCCACGTGTGGAATATTTTTGTGCGCACCAAGGCCTGTGTAAATGTGCACCAGCAGCAGAACACCAAACAAGCCCAGCTGTGGGTGCTCTGCTAATGAGCTGGGCAGCCCTGGAATCTCTCCTGAGCAGCTGCCCAAGCACACAGCTCACAGGGAGCCCTGGCTGAGGCACACAGATGAAGTGCCCCACCCCAGGCCACACAGGGCAGCCAAAGTGACAGGGCTCTGCAGCCACAGGGCTCCACAGATGAACCTGCCTCCCTGTCTCCTACCAGCTGCGCCAGCTGAGCCGCATCCTGCCTAGGCAGCCAGGCCGCGGGGTGTGGAGCTGCTGAGGTGCAGCATGAAGTATGTGGCTCCGACAGACAGATGCACAGCCCTGCTATGCACACTTTGTGCCCCTCTTACACGTCCCTCTCCCAAAACACACTTCCGGAGCTCTGTGCTCACTCTCCCTCTCCCTCCCCCCATGCAAAGCACCCCACTACAAGCAAACAAACAGCTCACGTTCAAACGATGGATTCAGACGACGTCAAAAGCTGAAGTGGAGACGTGGGGCTGCTTGAAAGCAGGTCTCCAAAGCAAATGTCGGCAACCCAGAAGCCAGTCAGGCCGGGGCGTGGCACGGCTGGGAAACGCAGAGGGGGGCTGGCCTAGAAGTTCAGCCATGGTGTACTTCCTTTTGTGTAAGAGAAAAACACACACTCTCTCTCTCTCTCTCTCCCCTACCCATTAGCTGCTTCCTCTTTCACTGTCACTGCTGTGCCCAACACCTTGGCTTTTCCCAGCTTCCTGCTCCTACGGCCTCAGTCCTCCCCAGCTCCCTGCTCTGACATCTGTCTGCTCCCCCCCCCCACACACTACTCCTCACCCAGCAACCCACATACTACGAGCAGCTGTTTTTTAAAACAGTGACCAATAAGAGTCCTTGCAATTTCTGCTTCTGAAAATGCCACCCAAAGCAATGAAATCACAGTAACCGGCCTCTCTGAGCTCACGAACCAGAGACTCGCACTACACAAGAGGTGGTGGAACAAGCAGCTCCGTAAGGTTCTGAAGCGTGTGGTCTTTAATAAAAGTTTGGGATTACGAAGCTTAACGTGCCGTCTCAGTGAAAGAGGCATTCCCAGAGTAAGTAAACACACTGTAAATCCTGACGGAGAGAGAGAAGAGGTATCTGCTGCCGTTGCCAAGAGCTAGTTATTGCCACTGGAGGGAGCCAAAGTACGATACAGAAGTTCCCAGCGTCCTAGCTCAGTCTCAGTTATTTGTGAAGGTTTGATAGTGAAAGTAAGGGGGCTACATATTCACTGTTACATACAGGTTGAACCTCAGTAACTTGACTTCCCTAGTCCAGCGATACACTGGGCTGGCATCAGCGACCTGTGTACGCTTTGGGGCTGGGACACTCACAGGGAAAAGTTGGCAGGCTAGGCAAGAATGGAGCTATGGAGGCTCCAGGCCAGAGCAGGGGAGTCTCCAGGGACTGGGAGCAGAGCAGGAAGGGGACCTGGGCCAGCCACTGGGAGCGGAGGGGCTGGCACTGAACTCCCCTGGTCCAGCAAACACTCTTTTTCAGGACAGGTCAGTTCCCAAGAGTGCCAGATCAGGGAAGTTCAGCCCCTACTAGGGAATCTCGACACACACTCCCTTATACTTAATACAGGAGAGACTAATTCTATCCGCAGTTGCACCCCAATGGTTACTGGCAAGCCACACTTGTGCAACAGGGCAGAATTTGGCCCATTGTATTTAGCAGCAACACTACCTTACTGAAGAACTGCATACTGAATAGGAGAGAAGAACAAGTTATCACTGTGTAACTAGGGAAATCAACTGGTTATCTGAGGTGTTTACACACCAATGCGAGAAGCCTGGGCAACAAACAGGAAGAACTGGTGGCCCTGGCCCAGTCCAAGAAATATGATTTAATTGGGATAACAGACTTGGTGGGATGACTCGCATGACTGGTGCACTGTCATGGAAGGGTATAAATTGTTCAGGAAGATCAGGCAGGGGAGAAAAGGAGGAAGAGTTGCACTATACAAAGAGAGCACTACGATTGCTTAGAGCTCCAGTATATAGAGGGAGAAAAGCCTGTTGAGAGTCTAAGGGTTAAGTTTAGAGGAGCAAACAACAGCAGTGATGTTGTGGTTGGTGTCTACTACAGGCCACCAAATCAGGTGGATGAGGTAAATGAGGCTTTCTTTGGACAACTGAGAGAAGCTTCCTGGTTCTCATGGGGGACTTTAATCACCCTGACATCTGTTGGGAGACCAATACGGCAGTACACAGGCAATCCAGGAAGTTTTTGGAGACTGTTGGGGATAACTTCTCGGTACAAGTGCTGAAGGATCCGACATGGTGCCGTGCGCAGCTTGACCTTCTGCTCACAAACAGGGATTGGACTGTGTTGTATAACTTCTCGGTACAAGTGCTGAAGGATCCGACATGGTGCCGTGCGCAGCTTGACCTTCTGCTCACAAACAGGGAGGAACTAATAAGGGAAGTAGAGGTGGGTGACAACCTCAGAAGCAGTGATCATGAGATGCTACATTTCAGGATCCTGACCAAAGGAAGAAAAGAGAGTAGTAAAACACACATTTTGAACTTCAGAAAAGTAGACTTTGACTCCCTCAGAGAACTGATGAGCAGAATCCCCTGGGATGCTAACATGGAGGGGAAAGGAGTCCAGGACAGCTGGCAGTATTTTAAAGAAGCTTTATTGAAGGCACAGAAACCATCCCGATGCATAGCAAGAGAAGCAAACAACGATAGGAGACCGGATTGGCTTACAGGGGAAATCCTTGCTGAACTTAAGCACAAAAAGGGAGCTTACAAAAAGTGGAAACTTGGACAAATGACCAGGGAGGGGTATACATGTATAGCTCGAGAATGCCAGGCGAGGGGGTATCAGGAAAGCGAAAGCGCAAATGGAATTGCAACTGGCAAAGTATGTGAAGGATAACAAGAAAGGTTTCTACAGGCATGTTAGCAAGAAGGTGATCAGTGAGGGTGTGGTGGGGTCCCTACAGGATGAGGGAGGTAACCTAGTGACAGATGATGTGGGGAAAGCTGAAGTACTCAATGCTTTCTTTGCCTTTGTCTTCCAGCTCTATGGTTCTAATCAGTTTGTTCCTACCTCAATGTGGGATGAATCAGATTTGTCACTTGAAAATGTCTCAGGAGTGGAATCCCCCTCATATCCTCGGAAGCAAAGATGGGTGCAAAGAGTTCATTTAGCATCCCTGCAATGGCCTTGACGATTCATAGAATCAGAGCTGGAAGAGACCTCAGGAGGTCATCAAGTCCAACCCTCTGCCCAAGACAGGACCAATATCAACTAAATCAATCTTTGTCAAGCCGAGACTTAAAAACCTCTAGGGATGGAGATTCTATCACCTCCCTAGGGAACCCATCCCAGGGCTTCCTCACTCTCCTAGGGAAATTCTTTTTTCCTAATATCCAACCTAGACCTCTTCCACTGCAACTTGAGACCATTGCTCCTTGTTTTGCCATCTGTCACGACTGTGAACAGCCTCTCTCCATCCTCTTTGGAACTTCCCTTTAGCACCTTGATCATCCAAGACCTCCACTGTTTGTTCGGCAGGTTTCCTGCTCCTAAAGTACTTACAACAATTTTTGCTGTTAGTTTGTGTCTTTTGTTAGTTGCTCTTCACATTTGTTGATCTAAATATACGTGTACTTTACTTTTACTAACGTCTGCTTAGCTAACCGTCAGAATTACCCGAAATACTGTTTTCCATGCAGCCATGTGAGAATAAAACCGCTGCTCAAGTTGTCATACTGAAAAGAAATATCTTACAATTATTTGATAAAAGTCTAATTTTAATATAAAATACAGTTTAAAATAGTTAAAACAAATGTAACTATTAAAATATAACAAGTATCCAATAAATTAAAAGACACAACCAGCTATAACCAATAAAATAAGCTAGTCTGAAATGCAACTCAGGTTTCAGTCTTTCAATCACTGGACTAAAAAAAAAAACCATGAAAACATACTATTTAAAATATCCATCAACCAGTACAAAGGCAGAACATGAACATATACAATGCTAAACATGCAATACTAAAGATGGGATGTTATTAAATGGAATGCGCAAATGTCTATTTAACACTGTTTTAGCAAAGCCAAGTCAAATTTTTTATACAAAGAATTTAAATGGTCATTTACAGTTTTCTTTTCAATTTATTTTTCACATTGGAGAATATGTCCATTTCATTTTTAATCCAATATACTGAATAACCAGAAGTGCCAGGAATAAAATCACGTAGCTCACCGAGGTATTTCTTCATCTCACTAGCCGAGACATAACCTGCAGAGTGAAAATGTAGAGGCCCGTATAAACACCACAGGAATGCTACAGCACCCAGGCCAGTCTTTTTACTGGCCTTTCTGGAATGAATATACACAAAATTAAATAATATTGTTGAAATGGAATGGGGGAGAACCACAGACACAGTATCACAAATACAGAAATGCCTGGTACTTTATTATGATTTTCAGTTAGATCACACCAAACATCTTTTAATGTACTGAGAGAAGAGCACTTTGTTGGGAAACACATGCAGTTCCTAAAGCTTTGCCAACATTTTCCCAGAGCAATGTTTCCCAATTTTATTTGGCCAAGGAACCCTTTTCAGAATTTCAAGGAACCCCTAGGTTTGTCAAGCAAAAAAAGAAAAAAAAGGGGAGGGGGGGACCCACCAATTCATGAAAATCACATTCCTTCCCCAAGACCCCCCCCAGCCCCATTCCTTGAGGTTACATCCGCTCTATTCCCCTCCTCTCCATCACTTGCTATCCCCACCCCTTATACACTCTCACTAGGTTGAGATAGGAGGTGTGGAGTAGGAATGAGGGATTTGGGTATGGGAAGGGGTGAGAAGTACAAGCTCTGGGAGGGAATTTAGATGCAGCAGAAGGGGATGTTTGCTCGGGAAGGGGGCTCCAGGTTCGGGAGTGTTGGGGTCAGGTGGAAGGTTGAGGTGCTGAGCAAGCCATGGGCTTGTGGATGTGAGGGTGCAGGAGTTTGGGCTGGATATGTGAGAGGCTCAGGGCAAGAAGGCTGTGAGTATGACGGGCTCAGGACACAGATTTGTGATGTGTGGATGGTGCAGGAGTGCTGTGACAGAAGACTGAGGATGTGGGGATGCAGGCTGAGGACAGGGGGTTCCAGTGTATTATAGGCTCAGATTTGGGGTCAGGTGGTACAGGAGTGTTAAGATGGTGAAGTGAGATGGGGGTTTGGCCCCAACTGGGGGCTTGTTGGCCAGGCTTCATTTTTAAATAAATATGTCAGACTCAAAAAGTTTTAGTATTGTCTCTATTTATGAGAGGGGTGAGGAACCTGTTTTGAGTCAAGGGTCACTGACCCACAGAAAAGTCAGTTGGGGCCACGTAAGTGAGATGCAAAAAAACCCCAACAACCCTCCAAAGACCCCCCAAGCCTCACTAATGTGGTCCCAAATGTGCTGGTGGAAGCAGGGGACAAAGTGAAAGTGGGTGCTGAGGCTGGGGAGAGGGTGCTGCTGGGTGGAAGGATGCTGGCTCAGGTGGCAGAGTGCTGGGGCAAGGTGCTGGGGCAGGCAGGTGGTGGGGTGCTGGGGTCAGGGACATGGTCCTGCTGGGCACTAGGGTGACTGGCAGGGTGCTGGGACAAGAAACAGGGTGCTGCTGGGTGCTAGCATGGATGGCAGGGTGCTAGGGCTAGGGCCAGGGTGGTGCTGAGTCCTGGGGTGTGAGGCAGGGTGTTGGGGCCAGGGACAGGGTGGTGCTGGGGTGGATGGCAGGGCTGCCAAGTAGCAGGATAGGGATGGGGTGCAGGATCTGGGAGGGAGGTGGGGGACGGAAGGGGGCAAGGTCTGGGTGGTGGTAGGGTGCAGAAGCAGGCTGGATGTAGAGTGTCTGGCCAGCGGGAGGAAGCAGGAGCAGATTGGGGATAGGGTGTCTGGCTACGAGGGAGGGTGCAAGGAGGGGACTTGGGTAGGAGTTGGACCTCTCTGATCTGGCACCCTCTGGACCTGACTGGTCCCAGATGAGGGATTTTTGGACCAGGGGAGGTCATTTCAGGGCTCCTGGTCTCCCCCCCGCACTAGGCTTCTTTGCACCTCTATCCCCTGCTACCCAACTGAGTTGGCCACCCCTGCTGGTTCCCTGCACCTCCCCCAAAACCATCCCCCACAATCCAAGGGAGTGCAGCACCAGTTCCCTGCAGCCCCTCACAGCCCAGCTGAGCTGCCCGTCTGTTCCGTATGCCCTCCCTCATCCACCTCAGCCCAGCTGAGCTCAGCACTGGTTCCCTGCATGCCTCTCCCACAGGACTGCTGAGCCCCATTTCCCTGCACCTCCCCCAAGCCCCGCAAAACTGCAGAGCCAAGCACTGGTTCCCTGCCCCTCCTTCCCCTTGAGTCTAGCCCCAGCTCCTGGATCCTCCCTCCTCCTGCAGCCAAACTGAGCTCTGAGCTCCACACACACACACACACACACACACACACACCCCCCCCGCAGCCCAGCCCAGCCCAGCTCCCCGGACCTCCCCATTCTGCAACCCAGCTGAGCTCAATTTCCCTGCACCTTCCCCCAAACCATGCAGACATGCTGAGCCAGAGCTGATTCCCTGCCCCTGTCTCCCTCCCTCCTTCCCCTTGGCTGTGTCTACACTGGCGTGATCTTGCGCCAAAGCTGCCGCTATTACGCAAAAACTTGCTTCCTGTCTACACTGGCTGTGTGTTCTTGCGCAAGTACACCGATGTTCTCATGTATGAAATCAGGGCTTCTTGCGCAAGAACTATGATGCTCCTCCTCAGGAATAAGCCTTTATGTGCAATTGTTCTTGCCCAAGAGGCCAATGTAGACAGGCAACACAAATTTCGTGTGCAAGAAAGCCCTGTGGCTAAAATGGCCATCGGCACTTTCTCGGGCAAGAGAGCATCCACACTGCCATAGATGCTCTTCTGCAAAAGCACAGCTTGCACATGGCAGTGTGGACATGTTCTTGCGCAAGAAACCACCAGTGTAGACAAAGCCTAAGTTTCCTCGCATGAGCAAAATGAATTTTGTGTTGTGCACCAGTACTGAGTTCATGTGACTTGTTTGGATGTGTCACTGTGGCACTCAAGTTACTAATAAATATTTTTAAACCTTTACCTTTTCTCTCTGCTGCCATATCTCCTTCCCTTGCTCCATCAGTTTCCCTGCCTGCTGCCTCCCAACTCCTCACTCTCCTCTGCTGTCCTGACTCCTGCCCTTCTCACTGCCCTCAGCCCTCCTGTAACCTGCCTCCCCTCCACCAGCCCTTCTCTCCTCACTGTGCCCACTTCTCCAGTAGCCCCACTCTGATCATGTGAGCTACCCCTCCTCATCCCCTCTTCTAACACCTCCCTCTACAAACCTGCCCTGCCTCTCTCCTCTGGTGCAGGTCCCTCCCCTGCAGGTGTCTGCCCTTCTGATTCACCCCCAGAATCCCCTGGCACCTGCACCCTTCTGGTGCCTTCCCCTTCCCTCACCGCCCCTGCCCCCTTTGCCCTCTTCTTCCTTGTTGCCCACCCCCTCACCACCCTCTGCCCCCGTTCCCCTCATGCCCCTGTGCCCTCACACGCGACTTGCTCCATCCTGGCCTTCCTCATGTCCACCCCTTCTTTCAAGCCTTCTCCCAGCACCTCCCTCTCCCCCCTCTAGCCTCCAATGCCCTTACCCTCTCTCCTCCCGGCATCACCCTGTCCCCCTCCCACTGATACCTCTCCCTCCTGCCTTTTTCCTCATTGTCTGCACTTGGCCCCCTGGCATTTGTCTCTCCTCTACCCTGTCCTTTTGGTGCCTTCCCTTCTCTTCCCTCTCTCCCCTTCCCCTCCACACAAGCCCCTTCCTCTCCCAGCACTTCCCCTTCCCCTACCTTCTGCCTTCCACTTTGTGGGACTGGAGTCTGCGCTCCGTCCCCGGACTCCAAACCTGCAACTCAGCCACACAGCGCAACACAGCGCCCAGCAGTTTTAAAATCCCGGGCCGTGACATTATGTCACGCCCAGGCATCTCCCAGCCTACCGGTTTGAGCACGCCCTGCAAGTGAAGGTTGTGCACGGCAGGGATGGGATGGGGCCGGGAGAGAGACGCTCTAGGACCAGGGTGGGAGGACGCGCGGGGGGGGCCAGGGCCCGCTCCAGTTCCAAATAGTGGTGGAGCATGGGCACCACAAGCCCATACAACTCCCTGCCCATGCCTCTGCTGGCTAGCCGGCTCTCTCTCTTTCAGAGGGGGTGGGGGAGTGCCAGCTCCTCGCGGAACCCCCAGTTTTACTACACGGAACCCCAGGGTTCCCCGGAGCACCAATTGGGAAACACTGCCCCAGAGCAATGAGTACAGGGTTGCAAATATTCAATTAACAACAGTGTGCACAAAAGTTAAGGAAAGGCTTTTTCATTGTTGCAAATGGAAGAGAAAAACATACATACTGGAAGGGATGTACTTGGGCAATCCTTCTCTGGACACACTCCCCTTGTGTGCATTAAAAGGCTCCAATGCATTAGTCAGTCCCATTTGAACAGAACTAGGATTTGAATACAAGCTAGGAACCTTTTAGTTTTCACCCACAGAAGCCACATGGGAGTGTGCAGCTAGTCAAACCCCATATTCTAAACTGGGGGGCAATGTTGGAGTAGGGAGGAATGAACTTGTCTACTTAAGATAGAAATTCAGCTCTGCGTAGAAAATCCAGGATCAAATCTATGTACTACTTTAGTCCTGCTTAAGCCTTCAAAACAGAATTTACATTGACCATAAGGTTTTCCATCTGCACAAGGGTGAATTATATTGAAAAGAATATGAAAAATGTTGCAATAGAACCGCATAGTCCACTTACCAGATTCAAGAACATCTCATAACGATCAACTAAGAAAGGGGGAAGCCATAACACAGCCTCATAATGTGAACTTTTTCATATCACCCAACTCTAGTGACCCACACACTAAAGCATTCATGGAACTAGACAGACTATCAGATGCACAGGTGAGCTCCCAAATGTCAGAAAAGATCAAATACAACATCTGCTTTTAGGAGGGGAAAAGGCGGACCCAGGGATTCACTAGCCAGTAATTTTAAAGTTGATGGAACATCTGATAAACTGCTAGCACAGTGAGTACTGCATCACTTTTGATACTTGCAAACACCTAGAGAAATTAAAGTGATCAATAGGAGACAACCTGGTTTCACCAAAAACAAATCCTCTCAAATCAGTGTAATTGAACTACACCCTTTGCTGAACCAAATTGTTAAAGTTCCTATGGAGAGAAAGACATCTTACTAGGAAAACAGGCAGAACTGCATGAACAGTGATTGTACAGAATTTGTACAGGAAAGACGCAGTATGATCTTCTACCTGCATTATAAAGAAATCAAACATGAATTGGGCACAGAGTAGGCCAATCCTCAGCACAGTCGCCCAGAGCACCGTATGCATTTGTTCCATTTGGCAAAAAGTCCACCTGTGTTAATCTTTACCTGTCACCATGTTGTTCACTGGGTAATCCTGAAGTGGACAGTATGCAAGTTTCCCTCCCATTGGTGTTTTTAATACTCTATTTTCTTTCTCACTGTAGAGAAAAAACATTATTTTTACTTGCTTCATACACTTTTTAAGGTTGCTTTCAGGAATGGCTGGCTCATTGGATTCGGCTATTCATGGGAATTTCAAAATTTCCCTTCCCTGCCAATCTACGGTCAAGGCTAAGGGCCTAATTTCCATAGCAAGATCTCCTCATTTCTGGAGAAGCCCAGTGTGGCAAGATGGAAATTCAGCAGCAAAAACTTCTGCTAAATTCACAAATTAAAGTTTTTATTGAATTACATATGGGACTGCATAATACAATGTGTACAGAATCTATTATCTTATATCTTTTGATATTACATTTTATTTCAGCATGGCCTTGCTTCTTCAGTTTTCACTACACAGCAGATTTTTGTACTAAACAAATAATCCCAGTGCAGGCGTTGACAGAAGGGGAAGTAGAAGGTTTTGGCAACTGGGCAGGGAACAGTGGGAAGAAGTGGAATACAGTTTGGGATCCGGGAATAAATACATTATTTGAAGGTTTTTTCAAAAAATGATCAACAGCAAAATAACTACTACTGACATGTACACTGTAATCATTAGGATTCCAAGTTATCAATTGATATGTTATACTGTACAATCTTGTTTGCCTAAATCTATGCAATCCTAACATGGAAATAAATACCTGTCATCCAAGTCTCTTTTGCCCTTTATTCTTTGCTCATCTTCTTTTATGCTAGTCTTTATTTCATCTGGTGTTAATTCATCAAGCTGTAGATGTCAACATACATTTTGATTAAATTTGTGCTTACAGCACCTTCTGACTTGATAAGGACGCAAAAGAAAGTGCCTCTAGTAACTATCATTTTCAATTTTTTGACATCCCATGATATGTACTATCAAATACAAACATTTCACAAGCAGGCAACATGCCCCAGTGTATACGTGCAGACATGCACGTGCACACACAAACGTTAAACTGCACAGAAACCAAAACTGAAGTGGGAACAAAACAGTCTGCCCTTACCCTGCAGAGTGGGCTGGGATCCATCTCAAGGATCCATCACACTAATTGCTCAGCAGTGTGATTCCTTTACTTTAACTGCTGTTTACAGGCCTTACAACCTATGTTCATCTCAGCTGTGCACACAGGACAATCAAATGTCCTTCACGGGACTAAGATTTTACTATTTATGATATTAAAGCTCAATTCAAGTGTTGCAGTAGAAGGCAGTTTGCATTGATCACAGTGTCCAGAAATCTCAGTCTCTGGCAGAAGAAGATTCTTGCATAGCAGTAGTTTGACAGGGAGGCAAGCAAACTAAACCCAGGTTAGTACAAAGGACTACCATTAAGCCAGCCACCCAGCCAGCAGTAAACAGAGAAAGCACAGTTTTGTAACCTCCTTCTGACTGAGTGCTTTATATCATTGTTGATTTTTCCCAATGGATTTCATTATTGTTAAGAATACGGCCCTTGCTTTGTGGTGATAGTAGTGACATCCTTCTACACCTCCATTTTCTGAATGCTTGCTCCCCTGGACACCAAGCAATGGTTGGGGGATATACAACAGGCAGTAGTTCACATCTTGATTATCACAATTCATTAATTGAAAAAATAATGTGATCTACTGTTTCATGAAGTCCTAGGATCAAATCCCACCTCCACTGAAGCCAAGCTAAGTTTGGCCATTGCTTTCAATGAGACAGGATTTCAGCCCCAATGTGTGTTTAGTACAACCTTACTTGTTCCATCAGGGAATCACTCATCTGCTCCCATATGAAATGACCAAGTTTTTGTCTAATTTCTGTAGTGAATACAAATAAATGAATGTTAGAAGTATTGCACAGTTATATTTAGCTGGCAAAAATCAGTCACCTAGCAGAGGTGATCTTTAACCACTGGTGAAACCACACTGTAGTGATTAGTACGTAGGGCAGGATCTCTAGCAGGGGTTACAGACTCCCTCGGCCCCTTACAGCCAACCAGTTCTCCCATGTCCAGCTAGACATACAGACTTCCACTGTGGCTACCACTAAGGGAGGGGGAAAGGGGAGTCTTGCAGCTCCGGCCAAGTGGGAAGGATGCAGATGGAAGGAATAGAGCTGGGGACCAGCCTCTCGCAAGGGTCTGCAGCCCACCTGAGCAATTTAAAAAGCCCCAGTACCAGGTTCTTGGGAGACGGGCAGGTCCCTTTAAATTGCCTCGACCCCTGGGCAATTGCCCCTCGCCCAAAATCAGCAGGCTTGCTGGCCCCCATTTGACTCAGTCCACCTCTCCGTGCTCTCCGATACTGGTGGGCAGCATGAGCTCAAAATAACAAGTTCTCTTGCATGGGTTCAACTGTTTTATCAAGTCTAGGCTGGGCACTTATGAAAGTCCCTTTACAAGCTGCTGTCTCTCTCTCCCATAGCTCCCTGCTTCTTTCTCTGCTCCTCTCCAAGCCTTCCCAGGTTGATCCCCATTTGCTCATTCACTCAACCCTTCCCAAGAGGTCTTTTTTCCTTTTTAATGGAAACAAAATAATCTGATCTAGCCTAGGACACACCCTATACTCCTCTTCCCTATCGCACCCAGGCTGAGGTCATTGTACTTTGACTGCATATGCTCAACATCACCAACAGTCGGCTTTTAAAACAATGAGTAAGCTGTACGGCAAAGTCTCTATATTTTTCCTAACCTTCTTGCACGCAGGCAGGGGGAAGGATGAAGTGACCCAAAGCTACTGTCTGTTTCATTTCAGAGCTGGCACTTGCATTTGCAGAAAGATAACAAGAATGAAAAACTGTAGCTCTGCCCTCGATATAATCGAGGCTCTGGTGTATTCTAGAGGAAACAACAGAACTTTTATAAACAAGAAATGTGAAAAAAATCAATTATTTGAATGATTAATTTAGCCTGACAGTAAGCCCAGGTTACCCCAGGGTATGTCAGGTGAGCCACCCCGCTCCTGCCCCACAGCTTACAGCGACTAACGAGTGGAAAGGGACTGTCTGCTCTCTAGTGCCCAGACTGGCTTTTTGTGCTGGGATTGTGAAGCGCCTCGCACAGTGGGGCCTTAGCCTGCGACTGAGATGGCTAGACACGGGGCCTTCCCTACGGATACAAGCCCAGGTTACCCCAGGGTATGTCAGGTGAGCCACCCCGCTCCTGCCCCACAGCTTACAGCGACTAACGAGTGGAAAGGGACTGTCTGCTCTCTAGTGCCCAGACTGGCTTTTTGTGCTGGGATTGTGAAGCGCCTCGCACAGTGGGGCCTTAGCCTGCGACTGAGATGGCTAGACACGGGGCCTTCCCTACGGATACACAACCGCGCAGGGCACCAAAGTGCCCCACGCAGCTGGCTGCTGTGCAAGGGATCCGGGAGGCAGCCCCGTCCCTGCCCCTCTGGGGGCTGCAC